TCGTGCGCGCATATAGGTCTGATCGCCATCTACTGAAAATGGGCTTGATAAAATATGATAAATTATCGGTAACATTCTGTGTATGTACTATATGCTCACAGAGTTAGTTAAGCTTCGTCAAATCTAAAGACTAAGGCATTTGTAGTAATAATATAATGTGAAAGGACAGCGTCTGATGTAGACGCTATAGATGTATTCAAGAGCGTATAAAGAAGGGCGTATACGCTCTTGATGTATTATATATTGATGTTATGCATTACGGGAGATTACGCATTGGGTCTGCCATAAAGGCATTTGGCATTGCGTATAGGGGAGCATCAAACATTTATTCTTACAGCATTAGCTGATCGCTTGGAGAAAGCATCTTCGTTTATGTGTGCGTGTGCTCATCTTCCACGCGTCAGCTACATGTTCTGTATTCAACTATAGAGCCGATCTAATATCTCCTGATTGATCGTAAATGCTGCTCTAGTGAATCCCAGCGCAAGAGCTTGTACGGTGTCTTGTGTCTGTGCCTGCGTGCGCGTATAATTACGTGCGTGTGTACGTGTGCGCGTGTGCGGGCTTGGGCGCACATGCGCGCGTGCATTCGTACGTTTATGTATGCGTTTGGGTGTACGCGCGCGTGAGTGCGTGGGCGTGTGTGCGTGCGGTCATTCTACCACGGAGTCGCCCGCTGCTCGCTCGCGTTCATTTAGCCACGCCACAGCACCGCTCTGCACGCACGCATGCACGCACGCTCGCACGCGCGCATCGATTTGAAAACGTGCGCACATTCGGCGACGGTTTGAGTTCGCTTCAGCAAGCGGGTTCTGCTGGTCTGGCCGTGGTAGACGGCCGTCGCTCGCACACGCGCGGGCACAGCTCGCCACGGGACGCGCTAATGCCCGCATTAAATCACTTTACGGCGTATGTATTAAATGAAACCGCTGCCGAGCGCGGAATCTCCGACAGCCGACCGTAAATTTGTCGGAAACTTGGCTGTGGTGAATTGACGTCGTTAACAACGGCGGCGGCGGCGTGGTAGCGCTGGGCTAGTTAGCAGACGAGATCTAACATTCTGCGACGGCGACGGTGGCGGCGGTCTCAATGACCGTGTTTCTATTGAAGGTCCGTGGTTCTGGTTTTAGCCCATTATTCACTTTTATAGTACTTTGATAGAGATGTGGAGAAAGAGGCAAGGAAACGGGTGGGGGAGAGAGAGTGAGGAAGTGACAGCGGGGGAGAAAGGTACGGAAGGGAGGAAAGGGAGGAAGACGGGGGAGAGAGAGAGAGAGAGAGAGAGAGACGAGAGAGAGAGAGAGAGAGAGAGAGAGAGAGAGAGAGAGAGAGAGAGAGAGAGAGAGAGAGAGAGAGAGAGAGAGAGAGAGAGAGAGAGAGAGAGAGGGATTACTGGCAGTCCCGAGAGAGGTATTTAGGTATGACCTCATCCGCTATTACCAGGTGAAGAAATCTGCTGCCGATGAGCCATGCAGGACATCTTTTCTCAAGAAAATAATCACCAGTCCGCGGAGATTTGAAAGAAATCGAATCTGGAATTGGGGTACCACCCGGCCCCAGGCATACCATTTTCAATCGGCCCAGCCGCTCTGCATAGCCTCATTCCCGATTCAAGTCTACACCCTCGCCGCTCTCGCGCAATTCCTCGCACGAGTTCATCATATGTCGTCGGCACTAGTTTTCCATCACCCGCAATTCGACCGGAGCTGATCACTAGCATTACCTTCTTCCCGAGCGACGTCACACGTACATTATGTTGCACCGTCCACGAGAACCCGACCCAGAACCGTCGAGTAGCGTCAGCTGAAATGCGATCCCGTTGCAAGAACAAAATATAAATCATAGTGGCAAAAATGATATTGGCATAGTTACAATTGTTTTATCCCAGAGCCCGCAACACATAAGAGGCGAGTAATGCAATGAAGACTAAGAACAACGGCGGACCGCGGACATTGCCGAAACCCCAACCAGACTGATAGTTACATTAGCTTGTTCCAGTGGTCCTATCTCCGGCTGACCTACAAACTTCAAATGTCCAACTAACCGGGCCCCGACGCGTCCTGTGAATCTTCAGGTCGCGGCACCCCCGTACAGACGTGCTGATTGGCATGCTGTGAATTACATTTACAGTGTGTGCCTTCGCCGCTCTGGCGCGTGCGCGTTCAGTCGTTCAACGGCAGATACAACGCGTTGCTGTACGTATCTGCGCGGCTGGCCTAATAATGAACGAGTGATGCTCGTGCGATGGCGTGCGTGCGTGCGTGCGTTGGTGCTAGCGATGCGTAACGTGCAGGGCGTCGTCCTAATTTTTTTTACTATTTTTTCCTACATTTATCTGGGCAATTCCTAAATTTCCTTATATTTTTCTGGAAACAATTCCATTTTCAAACCTATTTTGAGGGAATCTTCTGCAGAATGCAGGAAATTTACAGTTACGGTTACCCAATTTTCAAAAAAAAAATTCAGACCACCCATCTTACATTTAGAGCATTAACGTGAATATATCTTTACTATACAGATTTTATTTCAAGTCGCGTTGTTTCCATTGGATGTAGTATGTGTATAGAGTGGGGGATCAGGGGGTCCGCGGACCTTCCCTATTTTTTAAACGCGTCCAAAAAGGAGGACAACACTAAAAGATATTTTTCCATGCGTTAAAATTTGCGAATATCCATCTTGCATTCTAGAGCTCAAGAAATTACTAGCTCAATGCTTCCAGAATGCACCAATTTTTAACATATTTTTCTTTGGGGGAGGTTCCCCGAACCCCCCCCCTAAGTGGAACAACATGGCTTAGACCATTCGCATAAGCTGATCTTCGGACCGTTTTATAGAAGTGCCCTTTATATTCTTACTGGCCCCCGCCCCTTTTTCAAAAAGCGATCCGCACCATGTTACATAGTAGCGTCATACTATTTTGGAGGTAGTCTAAATGTATGGGTGTTATGATGTATAAACTGCTTATACAATTTTACCATCATATTCTCAGTTAGAACACCGTCAAAATTGTTCGCACATGTGATGTAACTCCAACTATGTAATATTAATAAAACCATGTTGTGGTGGATCGGGATATGAGCTGTAGAGGGTGATTGGAGGCCATCCTGAACGCACAACAAAATAATTCCTATTCTTAACATAATATTTCTCAAAAAATTCCTATATATTCCTCCTATTTGTATTCAAACATCTGAAATCCTATTTTCACTGTTTTTATGAGCGACACTGTGGTCACATTGAACACTTGTAAACGTGTGCGCGCATATGTGGTGAAGTATATACAGATCGCACACGCGCGGCGCGACGTGTGTGTGTTGGTGTGTGTGCGGTTGCGTGCGTGCGTGACGTGTGGTGTGTCTAGTGATTGCTGCAGTGCGTGTGATGCGTGCATGTGCGTCATGTGTGTGCAAGATTTTCTACTCAACTGACACAGTTTGGGACGTACTCATGTTGCGTCTCTCCTCATGTGTCTCGCGTAGCGCTTAGGCTTGGTGTATCGGTGTAATCCGGTGTATCCGGTTGTATACGA